TAGGGGAGAAAGGGATGTGGGGTGGGAAAAGGAGGGGGGGAGAGAGGCTGGGTCAGGATGCAGGTCCAGGGGAGCTAGACGGGGAATTTGCCCCATGGCCACTGCTGGCCACAGGTGTGTGACTCACTCCCCACCTGACTGCCTGCCCCAGACAAGGAAATCAGGCTGTGAGAGCCAGCACCCCCCCGAGAGCACCCCACCCAGACAGCCAGGCTCCCCAGGCACGCCGCAACAGGGGGCTGGCCCCCGGCTCCTCTCACCAGCCTCCTTACCTGACTTGACGGAGCAGTGGATGTGTGCCTTGGACTCATAGTAGACCCAGTCGAAGCCAGCCTCCACCGCCAGGCGAGCCAGCATGCCGTACTTGTTGCGGTCCCGGTCTGAGGTCGTGATGTCCACAGCTCGGCCCTCGTAATGCAGCGACTCCTCCGAGTGGTGCCCGTCCTCGTCCCAGCCTTCCGTCACCCGCAGCTTCACCCCAGGCCACTGATTCATGACGGAGATGGCCAGGGAGTTCAAGCGGTCCTTGCAGCGCTGCAGGGCAGAGGGCCAGAGTCAGTAAAAGCTTTTTGGAGGGGGGGGTTAGCTGTCTGGTTGGCAGGTTGTATCCCACTATGCTTCCACGAACCCTCTCTGGGTCCTTAGGCCTTTTAGGGGCTGGTCCAGCAGAGGAAGATCTGAGAACATTAGGTGCCTTGTCTAGCCCACACCCTCCAGACTCCCCGCAGTGCCCGATACCCCACCATTTGACACAGCATCTCCCAAGGGTGTGCACCCCAACAGGTGTGCACCCACACCTCCTCCTCCATCTCTTCCCCAGTTCCTGGCTCATTGGAGACCCTGTTGGGCAGCACAGCCTGGGCTGGGGTGAAACACCCTCTCTGCTTGCAGGACTTCTTTCCTGTGCTAGCACTGCCCCAGGGGCTTCCAGCTGACAGGAGAAGGATGCGGGAGCTGAGATCCTGCTGCCTCCTGGCTGGGAGGATCCCCCAGGGTCCCCAGCACTGTCCCTAGGCACAAATGAAACAACCTGCCCAGTCCACAGCACAGCTCTGCTCGATACTGCTCCTCAAGTCCTGAGGCCCAAGGACACAGCACTGGGCAGCCTCTGCTCATGTGGGAAATGCCAAACCTGCAAGAGCTCTGTTGTGCTGGAGCAGAAAGGATGTGAGGTGAAACCCCCTCCACCTCTCCCCGCCACAAGGGCTGAAAAGCCAGGGCTGAGGAACAGCAGCAGATCCCAAAAGCCCCAGACCAGGTGGCTACAGAGGTCACACAAGCAAGGCAACTACCCTGCCTCATCCCCCTCACTGTAGTCCTCCCCAGCAAGCAGAGGGATGCCAGACCCAACGCCTCTGCCGCAGCTCCCCCAGCCTTGCCCTGCGCTGGCTGCTTCCCCCAGTCACAGCTGCAACTCAGGGTTGTGTTTGGCTTGCAAAAGTACAGCCCGCACTTCTGGTCCCTTCTGCTGCAAAAGGGATGGAGGACAGCTAGAAAAGGTGTAGGAAAAGCAATACAGGAACTTCTACACAAAACTAGGTGAATGGACTAGGACCGTGGAGCCTGGAAAGGAGATGCTGGGGTATCCCAGAGCACGCTGTAAAATCAGGCTGAAGGACAGAGCATTCATGGTCATGCATGAGGCCAGTCCTGAAAAGCATTAAATGAAACAACTGGGCAGCAGCCTAAAAAACAGCCACCGTGGGGGATGTTTTCACTCAGCACTGGAACCCCCCACCATGGGATGTCATGGGTCGTGAGACACAGTCACAGTTATAAAATCCGATGCTGGTGACACACCTGGGCTCAGAAATGCCCCAGCACTGCCTCTGCAGGGAGCTGCACCCCAAAAATGCGGGCCATCACCCTATTCCCAAGCACCTGCTCCTGCCCAGGGAGGTGGTGCTGCTGCTCTTCGGGAAGCCTGCTTGTGCTTGGCAGGGTCCAGGCTCCGGGAAGGGCAGTGCCAGGCAGGCCTTTGCCCCACATGGGGTGGGGGAGCACCTCTGCCCTCCTCCCACGGCTCCCTGGGTGTGGGGAGATAAGCCAGCAAGGTGTTGGACAAACAGTTGCCAGGTGAGGGGAGGAGGAGGAGGGAGGGGAGCGACTTTTGTCCCCATCCAACACCACCGTGGTGCCACTTGGCACGTGGCACAAACAGCTCCCAAGGTCCCCGGCCCCACAGGGACCCCACAGAGAAGGGCAGTAAGGGGGTTTGGGGCTGAAGGCAGGCAGGGAGTCCCCAATGCCCCCCTGCATCCCCCAGCCATCACTCCAGGTGTCCCCTTGTCACTCCCACGCCAGCATCCCACTCTGGGCACCCCTTCTGCCCTCACTGCCAGCCCTTCTGTCCTCTGGGGGCACCCTGCCCACACACAAACACCGAGACCCTCTGACCCCTGTCCCCCTGCCGGGGACACTGCCTGCCACCAGCCCCTGAGGCAGGGCCACCCTTTCCTAGCGGCACCCACCTGGGCTGCCCTGTCCCCTGCGTGTGCCTCTGCCAGCGCAGCCCCAGCCCGAGGGTCCCACCCTCCCGCAGGGAGCAGGTACCGACGGGCAGGGAGCGGACAGGGACCGGCAGGGAGCAGGTACCGACGGGCAGGGAGCGGACAGGGACAGGCAGGGAGGGTCGGAGAGGGAGCTGGTACTAAGGGGTGGGGAGCAGGCACGGGCGGGCAGGGCAGCAGCGGGCAAGGAGCAGGCATGGATGGGCAGGGAACAGGCAACTATGAGGAGGGAGCAGGCAGGCATGAGCAATGATAAGCAGGGAGCAGGCAGAGATAGGCAAGGACAAGCAGGTGGGGATGGGCAGGGAGCAGGCACAGGAGGAAGGGAGAAGACAACAACGGACAGGAATGGCCAGGGATGGGCAAGGAGCAGGCAGCAATGGGCAGGGAGCAGGCATGGTCAGCAGGGATAGGCAAGGAGCAGGTAGGGATGGGCACTGCCTGCCCAGGGGCTCTGCTGCCTGCACAGGCAGGTAGGCAGGGACCAAGAAATCCATGGGCATGGGGCTGTCTGCTGGCTCTTGCTTGCCAGGGGCTGCAGGGAGAGCCCACCTCCTCCCCCCGCACTGCCCAGAGGGGCTACAGCATCCTCGGGGACCAGGGTGACCATGTCTGCCTGTGTGGGTGAACACAAGGTCTCACAAGGTGACAGCAAAGATGTGGAAATGCCAACGTGGCCCACGGGCCCTGCGGCGGGGCCCAGGCTGGAGTGGGATGTCCAAGCTCAGCCATGCGGCACAGAGTTCTGGCCACAGCTCACCAGCCCCAACGCTGTTCTGGTACCCAGCTGAGAGGCTGAAACCCATGCCACAGGTGTGTAGCAGGGTTTCGGGGGAAGGTGGGTGGTGACAATGTGTGAGGGGGTCACAGCTTCTCCCTGTAGTAGCATAGGTGACTGGGCACCCCCAGGCCACATGCAGGATGGAGCCCCATGCCACCACGCTGAGCTGGGTGGCTCTGTGCTGTGCCATGCACATCACGGTGGAGACCCTGGTGATGTTGGGCTGGGCTGAGCAGAGATGTTCTCCCCACTGACCAACATTGGCATCTCCCTTCTCATGAACAGACTGGGGATGGGACCATGTGCTCGGGGGGGAAGCCAAACCCTTTTGGGAAGGCAGGAGGTGTAGAAAGAAGGATGTAGCTCCAAGAGAGGGCACAGCCAGAAGGGACCCCAAGTACGCAGGACACTCAAGTGTGGCCACAGCCTCAGGTCAGGGGTTGTGGATGGAGCGTGTTTGGTCACAGCTACCTCCATGCCCAGAGGCTGGCCGGGAGAAGAGGGGTCCCACTAGCATCTCCCCTCCCAGGTGAGGTTTCTCCCAAAGGAAGCCAATAGTCCTATCCCAAGGTCTCCATCAACAATTCCTCACCACTGCAAGGATGTTCTCCATGCCAGTTGGGCCAACAGTGGCTGCAAGGGGTGATGGCTGGGGCAGGGAGAGGCTTGGGGTTGGGACTCCATGGGGGCAGGGGGCCCGAGACATTCCTGGGCCAGGCTGCCGGGGAGAGGTGAGGCGAGCTCTGCCTCCAGCCTTATCTCAGCACCTCCGAGTGGGACCAGCGAGAGCAAACACACTGGAATTCTTGAGGAAGATGAAACGATAAAGGAAAGGCGGGCAGAGAGCAGCACTACCCACCCCCCCAAGCAGGCGGCATCTTCCGGCTGCCTGGGACACCCAGACCCTTGGACTTGGGGAAAGAAAACAGGTTTGAAGTGAGTCAACAGCAGTAAAAGCCAGTGCACTGGGGGAAGGGACAAGGAGTTGGGTCAATGGCCTTTCCCAACCCATAGCAACACAGGGCATGGTGCCAGAGCCAGAAGTCCCACATCTGGGGACATCTCCCACAGCCAGGGGTCACAGGACAAGCCTAGAGGCCTGTGGGATGGCAGTGAGCTACCAGAAGTCATGCCACCTCCATAGCAATGGGGACAAATCCCTGCAGAGCTGCCTAAGGCACCATGGTACCCATCTGTGCACAGACGTGTAGTGGCCAGGAACCCTGCTGAGGTAAGAGCCTTCATTTGGGCACCCCAAGGAGACCAGGGATCTTCCAGGTACGCTGCCAACAAGGCAGCAGGACAGTGGGAAGCGTGGGGCTGGCGAGTGGGACACGGAGCCGTCCCTCTCCCACAGGTGCCGAGGGGCACTGGCTGGGTTAGGGCAGGCAGTGGGAGCACTGTCAGGAGCAAACACAGCCAGAAGCACTCTCTTGTCTCTGACTTAGGCAATACAATGTCACCTGCTTCCCTGATGCATGGACCAGCGGAGCTCACCGCTTCCTCAGTATCCCTAAGGCTGTTCCTCAGAGGATGCAGGCTCCAGCCCAGCCCCAGGGCACCAGTGACCAGCAACCATGACTTGTGCAACTCCTCAATCTTGGTGCTGCCTCACAGCGGGTCTCGGTCCCTCTGCCGCAGTCCCCAACCTGAGAACCACCCTGGACCATGGCCCCTGCCCTCAGGGACCTGCCCCCAAGTGCACGCAGGCTTGCAGAGCTGTCAAGCCGGCACCCAAGCCACTTCCCCTCCCGTTGTTACTAGTGCCTTGTCCAGAGACCATGGTCAGAGCCCCGCTCAGTGCCTGCCACCACAGCCATCCGCACTCACCCACCCGCCAGCCCCAAAATGGGGGGTGCAGCGGTCAGCGGGGCAGCCCTGGCCCCCCCCTGCCTCTCCCCGGAGCTCGCTCAGGCTGTAACCCGCTGCTGAGGCGGGTGGCCAGGTTTCTTAGCAAGGCCGTGCGGCTCCTTATCTGCATTCCTGAAACCCTCAGGCATTCTCCTGGCAATATTAAAACACAGAGTAACCTTCGTCCAGCATCACCCCCTCCTCCGCTGCCGTCTTCTGTCCCCCCCCCGCCCTCCTTCCCGCTGGCCCAGGGCACTTGTAAGCTGACTGCAACAGGGCATTTGCAATAACAGGTTGTCCCCGTCCCCGAGCACAACAAGCTGAGGGCAGCCCCCATCGGGCACCCTTCACCATCCCACCCAAGACACACGGGCAGAGGGGGCACCGAGGCACAGCACAGGGTTTTGGCGACAGGGTAGGGACAAGGAGCTGGAGGGGGCTCCCGGAGCCCAGCTTGCGGCGCTGCCCACTGCCCTCCTTGCCAGTGCGCCAGGCTCTGCTCTGTCTCTAGGCTCCAGCCGCAGGCAGAGCA